GTTTGACCGTTGGTTGACACTTCAAAAAAGCTTTGTTTAGGGGAAATTATCACAATACAACTTTGTTTTCTTGTTTTGGCATTGCAGATACTGAATATTTAGATATTCCATACCATCATGGTGGAGTCATGGACTTCTCGGGTTTGGAACCACGATATGTTGGTGGTTTTTCAGAGAAGATATCGATGGATATTGATGAAGTGTCGTACTTTGAACTTTTTTGAAGTGTCAACTAACGGTCAAACGAATGGAAAGTTGACGATTTGGATATTAGATTGTTTTCGAAAAGGTTTGGCTATTATATTGTTTAAAATGAAAGGTTTGGATATTAAATTGTATTTACCTTTTTTTTTTATAGATAATCGGTGATATAAATTGATTTTTTTTTATGTTGTAGTTCACTTACTCGTAGTTCAATTTGCTTCGTATGGAAATATGCAGCCCGAATCTCAATATTTTACATGTAAATTGGAAACACGTAATTAAATTCTGGATATTGATCGAATTTGGATTTTTAATCAAATAAAACAGACGATCTTCTCCTGAACAAATGATTTTACGATACGATATCGTAGCTGGTTTGAGCGTTGGAGTTATATATATATATATATATATATATATTCGTATACATATCTGCTTCTGGGTAAATGCCACATTTGGTCATTGAGATTACTAAATCATGTCATGTTTAGTCACTAGAAAAAATTAATATCAATTTTGGTCACTCAAATTACTTAAACATGTCACATTTAGTCACTCTCTCGTTAGCCTCCGTCCAACTCACGCTAACAGAGAGTGACTAAATGTGACATGTTTCAGTAATTCGAGTGGCATTCGTAAAAAAAAAAAAGTAATTCGATTGATCGTAGTTGGACGGAGGCTAATGGGAGAGTGACTAAATGTGACCTGTTTTAGTAATTCGAGTGATCCAAATTGATATTAATTCTTTCTAGTGACTAAACATAACACGATTTAGTAATATTGGTGACCAAATGTGACATTTACATGGGTTAATTGCACCCTCTTTGTTTGTTCTTGGTTTTTGGTTGGTTGGAGGTGGGCCAAAGGGCATCCACAAGTTTGCCGAAAGGAAACAGAAGAAAAGTCATTCTCAATCTCAACTCCTGGCCAACAGAGGAAATGAGGAACCAACCAAAAAAAAAAAAAAATAATAAGAGAAAGAATCCATTCCATCCATCCCACTACAGAGACACAGAGAGCTAGAGATATAGAACTCGAGATCGAATTCTGCAGCTTCCATCAAACGTCTTCTCTCATTTGCATCAGGAAGTAATATTCCTCTTAACTGAATAAATTGGCCAACCAGAATCCCGGCCGACCGCATCAGCAGCTACCACTTGGCTTTGTTGTTCTCGTCGTCATCGAATTCCAAACTAATCGTTATAGAAAAACATCTCTTGTCATGTTAGGTGACAAAACACCTAAAGCCAACTCATTTACGTTATTTTGTGCTCATTCATGTCATTTTATGCTTATTCACGTAATACTATTACGTAAGAGTGTGAGTTTTCCACGTAAATGAAAATTCGGATTTTTCCCCCTAATAATTTGTACTGGCTATATTTTATGAAATTAAATTTGGATTACAATTAAACTGTAAAAATATGTTGCACATCTATTTTGATATATTTTAAAGTTTATAATTTTAGTTTACAATGGCGTGAATAATTAACAAAAATGACGTGAATAACGAAAATCTGACGTGAATGAAACAAATATACGTCAATACAACAAATATGGCGTAAATAACCCAAAATCAGGTTTTTTGTCACCTAATGTGACAAGAGACTTCGCTCATCGATATGCTCTGTTGTGGATGACATTAATTAATGTCTTTTTAGGTCCCTGGAGTTTAATGGATTGGTTATTTGAGTTCCTCAAATTTGCAACAGTCTTGTGTTGCGATGTGACGTGTTGATGCATGGATGGATAGAGGCTTGCAACAGTCCATAACCGCGTATCAAACCATGATAATCGTTATCCAAGAATAAAGGAAATTGGAGGACAAAATCGGACAAACATGCATTTTGTTTGGGTGGGTGCCTATATCGAATCGGTCCATATTTTTTCTATAAAATTGGTCGGAAGATTCATTGGACCAAAGAATCATACCGTATTATAGTCGGTCCAATTTAGACCAGCCTAAATATTCGGTTTGATCTAATGCGGATCAAACCATTGCAAACATGGAGTCCTTGCTATGATCTATTATTTTGCCTATTTTAGCAGTCCACCTTCCAAACGGGCTGACACCAATGAGCTGATGGGACGTCATATTCTCTCCGTGGCTTATGAGATTACTAAAGTTGGTGCTCATGATTGAGTGTACGAAGACTAGGCTGAGACTTTCCTTTGTTCTCATCGAGTTCAAGCGGAAGCCTATGGTCTCCTCATCGATGTTATGTTGTTAGCAGCGCAAGACCCGATTCCAACATGCATTCACACTGATTGTCAGGTGTTACAACTTTCCCTGTATCAAGATCCTTTCTTATAGCCCTGCAATGTTGAGATACCGTTGCACTTATGCTCTCCATCTTATGCTCAACTGCTGTAATGATACTCCCGTTTCTGGTTTCGGATGAAAACAAAGAGGGTAATGTCTATTTTTTATCCAAACATTTTTTAGATTCTTTTATTTTGTCCAAACCTATTAAAATGCTATTAATTAGCCAAATCTTTCCTAATGTCATGAAATACTAATCCGACCTTAGATCAGGAGCAGTTCCCCCTCAATAAGAAATGGTAGAGAGAAAGGCGGTCTTCCACGGAGGTAAATCTTTGCCTGCTAGGCAAGAGGATAGTAAGTTCTAAATGCAGAAATCTTTTTTATTATAACGCTTATCCTTTCGCTCTGGATTCTTTGCCCTCATCAACTCAGTTGACTCTCGACACCCTCATTTCCTATTGACAAATCAAGCTCGAAGCATGCTTGGTAGAGATAGGTTTGGCTAATAAATAGTAACCCGAGAAAAAAGGTACAGTCTTTCCAAAAAAAAAGTTAACCTGAGTTAGTTAGACATGGGTAGTGGATTCCATGGTTAGAATTGAAAACCAACCCAAACTAAGCCTTGTTCGCAATAATGTTCTAATCAATGCCAAAGAAAAGAAAAACATAAAACCCACCAAAAAAACTTGCTCTATATAAACCTCTTATCTGCTTGTTTCTTTTGCTCACCAGCTTCTAGTTGCATCAGATTAGACAGATAAAGAGACAGAGAGACTAGAAGGCAGAAGCTAATAGTACCTTTTGCATCAAGTCACCACAACCCTCCTAGCTAAAAACCCAAACAAGAGCCCAAATATATAACAGAACTTCATTTTTCCTCCAAAACAACATAAAACCCACCAAAAAACATTAAACTGTAAAAATATGTTGCACATCTATTTTGATATATTTTAGTTTATAATTTTATTTTACAATGGCGTGAATAATTAACAATATGCGTGAATGAACATCAGGTTGCGTGACCTAACAATATTGGTTGCGTGAATAATCAACACTTTTACATGAATAGCGAAAATCTTACGTGAATGAAACAAATATAACATGAATACAACAAATATGGCGTGAATAACCCAAAATCAGGTTTTTTTGTCACCTAACGTGACAAGAGACTTGGCTTATCGATATGCTCTGCTCTGGATGACATTAATTAATGTCTTTTTAGGTCCCTGGAGTTTAGTGGATTGATTATTTGAGTTCCTCAAATTTGCAACAGTCTTGTGTTGCGATGTGAATTGTTGATGCATGGATGGATAGAGGCTTGCAACAGTCCATAACCGCGTATCGAACCATGATCATCGTTGTCCAAGAATAAAGGAAATTGGAGGACAAAATCGGACAAACATGCATTTTGTTTGGGTGGGTGCCTTAGATCAAATCGGTCCATATTGTTTCTTTAAAATTGGTCGGAAGATTCATTGGATCAAAGAATCATACCGCATTATAGTCGATCCAATTTAGATCAGCCTAAATATTCGGTTTGATCTGATGCGGATGAAACCATTGCAAACATGGAGTCCTTGCTATGATCTATTATTTTGCCTATTTTAGCAGCCCACCTTCCAAACGGGCCGACACCAATGAGCTGATGGGACGTCAGATTCTCTCCTGTGGCTTATGAGATTACTATAGTTGGTGCTCATGATCGAGTGTACACGAAGACTAGGCTGAGACTTTCCTTTGTTCTCATCCAATCCAAGCGGAAGCCTATGGTCTCCTCATAAATGCTATGTTGTTAGCAACGAAAGACCCGATTCCAACCTGCATTCACACTGATTGTCAGCCGTTACGACTTGCCCTGAATCAAGATCCTTTCTTATAACCCTGGCAATGTTGAGCTACCGTTGCGCGTATGCTCTGCATCTTATGCTCAACTGTTGTAATGATACTCCCGTTTCTGGTTTCGGATGGGGAAAATGTAATGTCTGTTTTTTACCCAAACCTTTTTCATATTATTTTATATTGTGATATTATCCAAACCTATTAAAATGCTATTAATTAGCCTAAACTTTCACTATGCATCAAAATATTAGTCATTTTTAAGTTATTGTTGATAATTTTGTAACTCTTTTCTTAGTTAAAATACTAAAATTTTGGAATGTTGACCTTTATGTGTCTCTTCCAAGTTAGTATCATGTTGTCAAATCAATATTAATAAAAAAAATTGCTAACTGAAATTTAACATTTTGCTAATTCTTAGTATTTCGATAGGTTTGGCTAATTAAAAAAGAATCCGAAATAGGTTTGGCTAATAAATAGTAATTACCCGGAGGAAAAAACGGTACCGTCTTTCCAAAAAAAAAAAGTTAACCTGAGTTAGTTAGACATGGATAGTGGATTCCCTGGTTAGAATTGAAAACCAACCCAAACTAAGCCTTGTTCGCAATAATGTTCTAATCAATGCCAAAGAAAAGAAAAACATAAAACCCACCAAAAAAACTTGCTCTATATAAACCTCCTATCTGCTTGTTTCTTTTGCTCACCAGCTTCTAGTTGCATCAGATTAGACAGATAAAGAGACAGAGAGACTAGAAGGCAGAAGCTAATAGTACCTTTTGCATCAAGTCACCACAACCCTCCTAGCTAAAAACCCAAACAAGAGCCCAAATATATAACAGAACTTCATTTTTCCTCCAAAAAATGGAGTGCTGGTCATCAAAGTTGTGCAACCAAGCAAAGCCATTTCTGGCTGTGATCTTCATCCAGTCTGGATATGCTGGCATGTCCATCATCTCCAAGTTTGCTCTCGACCAAGGAATGAGCCAACACGTCCTCGTTGTCTATCGACATGCAATCGCCACTGCTGTTATTGCCCCCTTCGCACTGATCTTTGACAGGTTCTTATAGTGGTGTAGTTAACTTTTTACTTGTGCCAACTTGAGGAAGCTAATTGATGATGAAATATTTGGGAATGACTGCAGGAAGACGAGACCAAATATGACCATGGGGATCTTCTTCAAGATTGCACTCCTTGGCTTGTTGGAGTAAGATCATCAATAACAGCAACCCATTTTATCTTACTTTTTTTAAAATCAACCAGTAATTGGCAAACCTTAAGCGTGTGTTAATTAATCGACGAACGTTTACATTTGTGTTCGTTACAGGCCAACGATCGATCAGAACTTGTATTATACAGGCATGAAGTATACATCAGCAACTTTTACTGCTGCTATGGTCAATGTTTCCCCTGCCTTGACATTCCTCATGGCTTGGGCCCTGAGGTAAGAACAACAATATTGGAACGGGTTTCTTTGATGACTACTACTATGTATCATGACACTTCTGGCACTGTGGTTAACAATGGGTTTTATTTTATGGTTGTGTTTCACAGCCTTGAGTCAGTTAACTTGAAGAAGGTGCGCAGCCATGCGAAAATTCTGGGGACAATAGTGACAGTGGGAGGAGCCATGTTGATGACCTTGATCAAAGGTGCGAGGGTGGATCTTCCATGGACTGAAGGGATTCATGCCGCCGCGAATTCAGCAGCTGCTGCTCAACATCCTGTCAAGGGTGCAGTTATGATAGCTGTTGGCTGCATTTCCTGGGCAGCTTTTGTCATCCTTCAGGCAATCACTTCGAAATCATACCCAGCTCAGCTCTCATTAACAGCTTTGATCTGCTTGATGGGAACAATCGAGGGATCGGTTTTGGCCATTGGGATGGAATGGGGGAACCCTTCTGCTTGGGCCATTGGTCTGGATTCCAAGTTGCTAGCTGCTGTCTATAGTGTAAGTCCTGAATGAAAAAATTCTGTACATTGAAGCTGTTAAGAAACTTGTTCAAGTTATTTACTCTCCCCCCAACTTTATGTCCATGCAGGGAGTGATATGTTCAGGAATGTCATACTACATACAGGGAGTGGTGTTGAAGACCAAGGGGCCGGTTTTCGTGACCGCGTTTAGCCCTCTTTGCATGGTGCTAGTCGCAATCATGGGTTCCATTTTCTTATCCGAGGTTCTGTACATGGGAAGGATCCTGGGAGCGATCGTTATAGTGATAGGATTGTACATGGTGCTGTGGGGGAAGAGCAAAGACCAACAACCAGGCAGTGGGAGTGATAAGGTGGCTGATTTGCCAACTGCTAGTACAGTTGCTGCTGCTTCATCAGCCAACGATGAGAAGACCGAAGATGATGAAAACTTTGTCTCCCTCGAGGTTTCGAGAACTTGAAGAAGATGAAGAGCAGAGTAAGAGAGAAATCAAGTGCCTCTCTCTCTTGCTCTCTTCTCTGACTCTGTACCATTTGCTGCTGATGTTTTGTTAGTGAGAAAGCAAAAGTTTACTACTTCATGTATGGAAGTCCTAACCCAAGAACATAGTGATGATTATTAATAATGGAATACATATTAGTACCATAATTGCAATATAAAGAGAGCACTAATGAAACCTTTGATGGTGCTAAGCTGGACTACTTTACTTCAGTTCTCGTCCATTACAATGATAAGTGAGTGGCTACAGGTGACTAGATGTGGATTGGTAGGTTAGTATTCACCACTTGCAATTGTATACTCATTCCATTACAAAACCCACCAAAAAAGAATGAAATCTTCTATTAATTAAATCAATCTCAATCATCAGTATTCACCCCCCAACCATCCATTTCTCAGGAGATATGATTTCCCAATCAAACCTAATCTGCAAAAAGGAAATAAATAAAAACTGACATAAACTATGGACTTAAACTAGACCTGTCGGTTTCAATGTATTCTCTCTATACATATGGGAATTTAGAAGCCAGTAAACAACAAGAGAGTTAACTCCAGAAGAGCAAGAAACACAGACCAAGGAGTCTTTCTATTTTCTAGTGACTTGAGAAGCAAGGAATTAATAGTCTTGAATGATGCAGTTCACTTCTTTTGGGGTTTTGCCTTCAGCCTTCTATGGGACTTCGTCGATGAATCTACCCCGACTTATAAAAAGAATATGCATAATGGCAGTAGGTGATTGCGAATAAGGAAATCAACATAGCAAATACCTTACACAGCAATGGAATTTGTACACTTCTATGGAGTTTCAGATTGCATGCTGTAATTAGTTCTAGCAAAGACATTCCTGACCTGTTAAGAAAAGTCGAAAGAGAGTGGGAAATCTAAGCATCTAGCAAGTAGCAATAGGAATCAACCAGCGGAAAATGCTTGGGACTCAACTTACTCAGCAGCACAAGGAGAGTGGAATACTTCTTTGAAACCGAAACGGGAAGCCATCAATTTCATGACTAATAACTGTCATGTTATGAAGTAAGGAAGAGTAACCATTCACATATACAAGGTAGAAACATCTAGTGCCATCGATAGCTAAAACTGAAAGGTCTGTGATATTTCTGAAAAGCGCAGAACCAAGTGTTCATAGAAGCATGTTCTGATATCAATGTACCTGGAGCAAAGACTGAACCATCGAGCGTGCTCTTTATAAGGGCAGAATATTGCACCCACCAATATGTTTGCCCCTTCAGCAAGTGCAAGATGGAGACCCTTCACACATACCGCATGCTTATCGTAGAAAGGTATCCTTTTCTGAGTTCCTCTGTCCACACCTGATGGAATATGCATATCTGCCAAGACTATGGTGGAGTAATTGGCTTGTCCTAATGATTGACATGCATACCAAAGAAGAATTTCTTCATCTCTCACACGAGATACTCTTTTCTCAGCTTGATGGAATATGCATATCTGACAAGACTATGGTGAAGTAATTGGCTTGTCCTAATGATTGACATGCATACCAAAGAAGAATTTCTTCATCTCTCACACGAGATACTCTTTTCTCAGCTTGCTTAACAGTAATGGAGAACTTTAAAGTCCTCCTTAAACTCTTTAAAAACAAGCTGCATACATGCAATCTACCATAATACAGAGATTGAGCATGTTTCTATTTTTGTAGGCCTGTGCATGGCTAGAACTTGTATGATATGGGGATGAAAAGAAACACCCTACTGCAACACCTTCAACATGTTTCTTCCTGCTTTAGTAAGTGGACGCACATGGTTGTAGCTGAGCTGCCCAACAATGGATATAAGATAATGAAGTGCTGCGAGAAAAAAATAGAACAGTTGCATCTCCAAGCGAAGATAGTGGAGCAGTGGCAATAACAAGCAAATTGGGGAGCAATGTGGACTACCAATGATCGAAGACTAATTCTGAATTTGCCAAGGCCATGGGACATAATCAGCAACAGCCAATCTATGAACAGTGTAGTTACAACAGAGATTTTATGCTAGTCAAGTTTCACCCTTCTGCAAGCAAGCATCAACACATCTCCTAGCTTTGTGTTCAATCATCTCATCAAAATAGACATCTAAACCAAAGGGATGCATAGATAGTGAGCCAATGAGGAAATCTGCTTGAATATCTAAACTGGTGGTATCATGCACAACGAGATTACCAGAAAACTGCCGGCCAGAACTATCACAAGAGCATTATGTAGTCTGTCAAATTTAAATTTTAAGTCGGAGAAAATTATTCTTCTATTAAACTCCAGGGACACTTTTAAGACCTTACGTTTGACAAATCTGCAAAAGGTGTTTTTACTTTCTCAAATAACATAAGACAGACAACTCTATTTCCTATCACAAGGCATTTACTGAATTTTCCGAGTGATGATAAATTTATAGGCATTCTTTTGTTAAACGAAAGACTGAAGATCCCAACATTTCTATCTTTCACTGAAATTTTTGGATGTTTTGGCTATGCACAGATTACATACCACCCAAAATTTCCACAGAATCAAGGATCGCAATCTCAAAATTGTACAACCTCATCCTTTCCATAGATTCTCTGAAGTTCACGCGCTGCAGCTTGAAAAGATGCTGGGGAAAACAAAAGGAGCGGATTTGTATTGGTCAGTGTAGATGAAGAAAGAAAATAAAACTATTCCTCATTTTTCCCTCTCTCTGTTATGCTACTTGAATGGCATCAAACAAAGAAAAATTGAAGTCATTACCCTTCCACGAGAGGAAATTCTTTTGATTGATCTGAGACCCAGTTACAGTCTGGACCACATCAAAGAGCTGCTCCTGAGGAGTGTTCTTCAACTCTTGAACAACACCATAGATGGTCTTCCCATTGTCAAAGTAAATGTGATTGTTGGGATGTTTTGTCTTGCAATTAGCATGACGCTCAAACTCAAAGGCATTTACACTCTGCACAAGCATAAAGGAGGAAAATCTAGTTCAGTTTACTTCTTGCCATAAAGAAGCTCAAGCATAAAAATGTGGATTTCCTACCTTGCCATAGTTACACTCATTGCAGCCACATAAATACCCTGTTCCCTTTATGGTTCCCTTAACAATTGTCTGCACAGCAAAATGGGATGGCTTATTACGGGATGAGAAATTTGGTTTGTAACCTGAATGATAATTCATTCTTCCTACTTAACTAAAGAGGCATCTCCCACTCAAATAAACAATCTTCTCACCTCCCTTGACCAGGAAACATATTTGACAGAGATCCCGTCAAGAATGCCAGTCGATAGCAGACTCTTGACATTGGTAGGGAAGTTGTTCATAGCATCCTTCTTCTCTTTTGGCTTTCTATTCATGATGGCTGAATCGCCTGCCAAATTAGCATTTGGAGCATCATCTGCCTCTCTGCATGTACTCTGCTGCTCCAAATTCTTTTGACTTAATATTTTTGCTGAAGTTTGACCTGAACTCTGACCAGGAATTAACATGCCATAACCACCACCAACAGTAGCACTAGAGGCAGTCATCTCAGTCACAGAAAAGGCCCCGAAAGATACAGCATTGTCAAGAGCATTGTGGTTGTAGTTGTGACCAAGACATGGGATCCCAGATTCTGCTATGCCTGGAGTTGGATCCATTGATTTGATGCTAGAGTTTCCATATGATGGATATATCGATACGAGATTATCATCTCTCTTCCAGTTAGAATGAACTGTGGAGATGAAATTCTCGTTTGGTTTAGCATGATTTGGGCTCATCAAGATGGAACCCTCGTGTTCTAGGGAAGCCATTGACATGAGAGCGTTGTCTTTCTTTCCATATGCCGGGCCCATTTGGTTGAACCTGGTTCCAGCCTTATTAAATGGCTGTCCCATAGACAAAATGTTCTCACTTTCCTGGTTACTACAACCATAAGTCATCGGCATGGAGTATCCATTTCCTTGGTTGAAATAATGACCCATGGGTGAAACGAAATTTCCATCTGTCTTGCTGAAGATTCTTTCAACAGACACATCATTCTCAGTGCAGTTACTATAAGCAGGGGGCAAAGTCATGGAGCCACCACCATCACTCTTATTGAAGGTAGTGCTTACCGAAATTGAATCTGTAACTTGACTAACTTTCACTTTTCTGAGTCCACCAAGACCGGTGCTACCCGAGTGATCTTCAATGTTGTGAGTTAAAGATAAACCCATAGAGGAGTCTCTAACACGCTGCCCACCAAATCCCATCGTCCGCACATACATACTTCCATTCCCAACAGATGGCTGGTTCTGATCAGCCACACTTCCACTGACCAATGCCTCAGAACCAAAATCGCGGCCACCAGGTTGGCCCGAGAGCAGCTGGAATTCGGAGACGTTAGGCCAAGGAAATGCACTTCCATATGTAGGAACATTCTTCAATGCTGGCTTACTGTTGACAGCTTCAGTTGCTAGCCTCTTGTTGTCTAAATGTTCCGGTTGACACGAATCCGTAACCCACTGATGGCCACGCTTTTGTTTGCTTCTTCCCGCTGAGGCATTGTCATCAAAACCAGTGATGGCAATCTCTCCCTTAGGTTGAGAATCAGCATCTCTTGTCACCCAAAAGTTCATCCCTTGAGAAGACTGCCAGGAAAAATAAAATCCATAACATGTTTCCCCTCAAAAGAAGCCGCCCAAAACACAAACAAGAATCACAGCCACATACAATCATTTCTCCACCAAAATCCACACAGTAACTTTGCACTCAGAACCCCAAAAATGAGCAGGGCATAGCAGAGTACCATTACCATTTTTCTTACGTCACTGCTGTTCCATTCCAAGGAAATTGCAGCACGATCAACGCTGAGAGGTACCGGAAAATTCAGAATCCGCAGTCCGACCAACCGGGAGCAGCGATCAGTGCGTTTCGTCTCGCTAACACAATCTGCAGACAAACGCACCGAGCAGTTGAAAATGGAAGAGACAGATACCACCAAAACCAGAGTATTTGACAGAAAACATGCAGCGACCTAGGGATTCATTCTAAAGGGGGGATGAGAGAGAGAGAGAACTGTTCTCGGGTTCTACACATAGCGAGACGGCCACAAAGTCAAGCCATTTTCTACCAAACGATTATAATTTCCGTCCAACAGTAGAAAATGAAAGATAATAGTAACGGAAATCGATGATAACCGTTTTCTCCGTTAACTTCGCCGGCGGAATTTCACCGGCGACGGCGGGAGTGAGCTGTTGTAGTAATGAAAGCGACTTACGTTTGAAGAAGAAAGAAAAAGGGAACACAGAGGACAGGGATGGAGTAGTGTGAGAGAGACGGGACGAGCGAAGACGGGGTTTTTCGATTATTTATTTATTTTTCTATTTTAAAAGCGACGGTTGTTATCATCTGCGGTTAAACAAAACCTGCTCCCGGTGGTCTTCACTCCTTGGGATGACACGTAGAGCGTGATGATCTTAAGTATACAAAGAGAGGAATCAAGCCCGTTGAGGATAATTTGATTCTTCGTCGTCGTAGTAAATAGGAGAGAAAATCGAATTTGTTTCTTCCTCTTTTCAAAAAAAAAAAATAGGAGAAATTCACTGTGACACGTTCGTTAAAAAAAAATCCTTTTGTAGCAAATCCTTTATTAATAAAAATAAATAAGCTTAACATAAAGGCAGAAAAAGCTAAGCATTCGAGAGAACTTTCAGAGGCAAGGAACATTTTTTGGAGTAACGAAAAGGAGAAGGTTACATTTATATATGAAAAATCGAGATCTGGTGATATAACGCAGGGTCTTCCAAAAGTGGAACAAGTGTTAGAAGTGCGTTCAAGTCACGGAAGATGATGTGCCTAGAAAGCAGAAGAGCTGAGCTCTGCGAATTATTAATTTTCAAGCTGGATAAAACTTAAAATATTTTTAAAACAAATCAATTTTTGGAGTTCAACTGTTTTAAGTACTCTGGGAAACATAAATGTAGACGTGGCTGATTCTGGTTCGAGCTTGGGGACTTGGGTACCGGGGAGAGGAGATCTGGTAGGAGTAAGATCCAAGAGAAAACTAGATGAGGTGTTAGTGAATTGGTGAATCACCAAACACAGGCATGAACTCTAATCGAGTGCTTTTTGGAATGAATTGATGATACTCATTAATGCATCAAACCATCTTTGCTAGTATGTTAACACTTTTTTCTGTTAGTATAGTAGATTTACCTAATAGGAACATTTCGTTTGGATAATTTTTTATTCTAAATGAGTTGACCAAAATTAATGAAGAGAAAATGAAGGAAGGGTACGCTGTCATTAATAAAAATTGGGAGAATGAGAGGGGGAGCAGCTGTTATTTTTGCATTAAATGTGAGGAAGAGAGGCGGACCACCAAAGTGGGCCAAAAATTTCTCAAAGTAGGACAGAACCTCAAAGCATGTCAGAATCTCCTCAAAGTAGGCTTGAACCTCCACAAAATAAGCTAGAACCTCCTCAAAGTAAGTCAGAACCTCCTCATAGTAGACCAGAAGTTTTTTAGCAGAATAGTAGTTGAATTGTTTTGAAAATTTCAAAAAATTTAGGTACCAAAATGTATGAAATAAATTTTGAGGTACTAAAATGTAATTTTCAACCAATTTTTTCAGGACTCAAATATAAAAATAAATTAGGTACTAATTATTAAAATCTATTAAGTTCAAATATCAAAACTGTAATTTGTAAACAAAACATAGAAAAACAACGTAAATGAAAGGAGGAGGAGAAAGAGAAGGGGAAGGGATAGAAAAAGGAGAAAACATAGTTACTATAATACACTTAAAAAGTGTTAGCACCGTATCCTCTCCCAACAACCACGACGATCCTACTTTTGATGATGGATTCTATATTTGACGAGGATCGGTGACTTTGCCCGTGACAATAGTTCTAGTGGTGACTATAGTGGCAATTGTTGTGACCGTTAAGAAAAAGGAACCAAATTTTTATCACTTCGTAAAATAAATCTTTAAATCTTGCTCCTTGAGTTACTTAACAAAGTGTTTTTTTTTTAGGGTGGGGGCATCATTCATGAGGCTTAGACCATCCATCTACATTAGTGTTGGGGGAATGAACATGGGCCGGCCCAGATGGGAGAAGCCCGAAGTAAGTTATTATGGACCAGAGGCATGGGCCCAACCAAGAAGGCTGAGAAAGCCCATGGGAGCAGGAACCTTGGGTTGAAGGGCGCCCGGGCCTAGGCCTAGGTGGCTGAGATAGCGTGCGAGACAGGTGGGACCGGGCACCTGGTGAGGGACATATGAGACAAAGGCAGCCAACGGTCGGAAGTGTACGAAAAGCTGATCGGGTGATGTCATGCGCCTCCAACCTCTGACCGGAGTGTCAGATGGTCGAGGTGCATGGTCTAGGGGTGTACGGCGCATTTATGGCGGGTCTGACACAGGGCGAGAGCGACGTGTACCGGTCGATCTCGCCCCGGGTATAAATAGTCGAGTAGGTAAACCTCATTTACTCAGTTTTTGCTTCTCTTACTAGAATTGTTCCTTCACTTCTCTCTCTAGAAAGTAGGTTCTTACTTGAGCGTTGGAGTGCTAACGGACCACTTCGGTCCGTTAGGCGCTTGTGTGGGTGCAGGGAGGCGGCTGCGTAAGCGGACGAAGGAGCTTGATGTGCGAAGCGTAAGAAGGTGGTTATTGTGCATAAACAATTGACGCGCCAGGAAAGGGAATATAACCCTCAAAGCGCATGGAGGTTACGGGATTAGGAGAGAAGGATGGAGGGGCTGAACCTCATGATCAGGGGACGGAAGTGACAAAAGAAGCGGAGGAGCATGATGGGAAAGGGAGCCCGAGGATCGAAGAGAGCGCGCAAGCAGAAGGCGCCGCGCTCGCAAAAGAGGAATTGTTTCAGATTATCGAAAGCCAAGATCACGCGCTCGAGATTTTGAAGAAGGAGGTCGAAGAGGAATGGAGGCGATCCACACACGCCTGGATCGAAGAGAAAGGAGCGGGACGAAGAAGGGGATGGAGCGTCCAGCCTTATGAGGCGCACAGAGGAAATGGGGCACCTGACCCGACACTTGGAATCAGATTATGACGACTACAACGGATGGGCACAGAGGCGTGCAGGAAGAGGCTGGGGAGTTCGACAGCCCTTGGCCAGGAGCATTCTCGCCGAGTCGCCGAGCTCAGTTATACCAGCGTTACCAAGCTACGATGGTACGACCGACCCGGAAGACCACTTGAACAATTACTTCACGAAAATGCAGCTGTACAGCAGCTCGGACGCCACGATGTGTCGTGCGTTCCCTTCCACGTTCATAGGGGTGGTGCTGGACTGGTACCACCAACTGGAAGAGGGACGGATCGACTGTTCCGAGCACTTTGCTTCCTTGTTCCTATCAAAATTCGCTAGTCGAAAGCGCAGGACCCTCACGATAAGCGCCTTGTTCAAGGGCCGTCAAAGGGAAAACGAGCCACTTCGCGATTTTTACGAACGATGGATGTCGGTAGCCATGGCGGTGAAGGATGTCAAGCCCCCTGTCTTGGGGTGTTGCCTGGATGAGTGCACAACTAGTGAAGAGCTGTGCCGGGCGCTTTCCAAGAGAGACGTGACGTCCACTGAGGACCTTGATAGGAGGGTACAGAAGGTCATTATGCTGGAGGAGACGCTTGCGGCTAGAAGATTTGACAGGCGCAAGAACAAGACGGAGGAGGGAGAGGGATACCAACCGCAGGCGCCCCGCGTGCCAATGGCGGCACCCAACGTGCCGTTTCCAGGGCGCAGGATGGAAAACCAGAGGCCTGTGCCGAAGAATGCGGGGAATTTCACCGAGCTAAACGACACACTGAAAAACGTGTTGCCGTATGTGAAGGATAAGGGTTACCACGTGAGGTGGCCTGGTCCCATGAGGGGGCGCCCGAATGAACAGAATCTCGACAGATATTGTGAGTTCCATAGGGAGCGGGGGCACCACACCGCAGATTGCTATCAGCTGAAGTCCGAGATACAGGGGCTGGTAGACAAAGGCATGCTGAACGACTTTGTGAAAAAAGGTGATCGAACGCAGAGGACATTCGTAGCGCGGGAGGCGCAGGTAAAGGCGCCTGATGAAAAGCCGGAGGCGGCAGACTACCATCCCAAGGAAGGAGTTGTTCTACCCCCGCCCCCATTCAACGTAGAGCAGGAGGCGAACCCGAACCGCGTAAGATTGACCATTGAGGCCATCACAGGCTCCGTAGACTTGAGGCAGAAGCTGGAGGAGGGAAGGCGCCTGAAATCGGCCACCGCCAGCGCGCGCGAGGCCATCCATATACGCTTCAATGAGGTGCCCGAAGAAGCATGCCGAACGCCTTCCACGGAGGCGCTGGAAATCCGGGGAGTGGTGGCCGGATGCGAGGTCAAAAGGATGTTGGTCGACACCGGAAGCTCCATGGACGTGTTATTTCTTTCCACGTTTGAGAAAATGCAGTTAGCGCCGAGTATGATGACGCCGGCGGACACGGTGCTCATTGGGTTCTCTGGGGCACCCGCACAAGTTATCGGACGCGTGCGCCTTCCCGTGACCTTGGGCGACGAGGCGCTTTGTGTCACGCACACGGTGGATTTTGGCATAGTCGACTGCCCCTCACCATACAACGCAATCTTGGGGGCGCCCCTTGCTGGCACTCTTCAACGGGGTGGCCTCCTCTTGCCACCAAGTCCTAAAGTTTGTCACCTTAGAGGGCATCGGAATATCGAGGGGTGAGGCCTCTGTGGAAGCACGACTCGCCAAGAGGAGCCGGATGTATAATATTGACACGCGGCCTGAGGACTTGCCAAGGGCCGAAGCGGCGGATGAAGAGATACATGTGCCACTGGATGACCTACGTCCTGATAGATGCGTTCGCGTTTCGACACACTACGGGCGAAGAGTTGGGGCCGCTGGTTGATCTTTTGAGGGAATTCGCAGACTTGTTCGCATGGAGCACGAAGGCGTCGTGGGAATGGAGGATGTGCGTGGATTATACCAGCCTAAACCGAGTGTGCCCCTCGGACGCATACCCCATGCCAAGAATCGACCAACTAGTGGATGCGACGGCATACCACGAGGCAGCAAATACCCATGTGTGAGGAAGATAGGGACAAGACAACGTTCATGACTCCATTCGGTAACTTTCGCTACAGGGTAATGTCGTTCGGGCTGAGGAATGCTGGGGCCACGTACCAGCGTATGGTGAACAAGGTTTTTCAGCATCAGATTGGACGGAATGTGGAGGCGTACGTGGATGACTTGGTGGTGAAGAGCAAACGGAGAAAGGATCATCTGGCGGACTTGCGTGAGACGTTTCAAGCGCTCCGCGCCCATGACCTGCGCCTCAATCCCCTGAAGTGCGTATTTGGGGCGGAAGCAGGAAATTTCTTGGGGTTCATGATCACCAAACGTGGCATCGAAGCTAATCCCCGGCAGGTAGAGGCGATAAGGCGCCTCCAACCCCCCGCACACCTAATGAAGTGCAAAGTTTAAACGGGCGATTGGCCGCCTTGGGGCGCTTCATACCCCGCTCGGCGGATAAGGGCGCCCCTTTCTTTCGAGTGCTAAGGAAGGCCGCCCGGTTCAAGTGGACGGAAGAGTGTGACGAAGCATTCGAGCAACTAAAGACTCTGCTAATGGCTCCTACTGTGATGACTGTCCCGAAGCGGGGCGAAGTGCTCTACCTGTATATTGCGGTGTCAAAAATGGCAGTCAGTGCGGTGCTTGTCTCCAAGGATG